TATTTTTGGCTATTTCTACAAATATACCCCAGCGACTTAAGACTGGTTTTGTGCTCCAGGGTTACATATAGTAAAAAAAGCCTGTGAAATAGTGTTGTTTGTTAGTAAGTCTATCACAGCGTGCCCTTTTCCCGTTGCCAAAAGCAGATGAGCTCCTGCCATAAGGCCACTACTGCGATCATTTTTCAGACGTGATGTTCTGCCGTGAGTGCCTGTTAGCATCACAGCTGAGAAATGTTAAGCAAAGAGGCGATTTGGCAAATTCTCAAGCTCTCCACTTGCTGTACCTGCAATGAATGCTAAAAGAACAAACAAACAAACGGAAGACAGAGATGATCTCTGCTTCTCTGAGCTGAGGAAAAAACTGTATAGAGCACATGAAGATGACGACCAAGGAACGAGAGACGTCTTCACCTGTAACCTGGAATAAAAGATGCGAAGCCCCGCCCACACACTCACCTTCGGCCATTTAGGATTAAGGAGGCGGGCTTTGACAGCGTCGTTCAGAGCGGTCTGGTACTGACCCAGTTTGAGGTGGGCGGCCGAGCGGTTGCTGTACAGGATGCAGTTCTGCGGGTCGGCGCGCAGGGCCTCGCCGTAAAGCTTCACGGCCATCTGGAAGTCTCCCAGCTGGCAGGCCTCGTTGCTTTGCCGCACCTTCTCCATGAACTCGGCCTTGCTGAGGCCCGGGCCATCGGCGGCGGCGTGCACAGCCCTGCCCAGTGCTCGTGGTCCAAACAGACCAAACTACCCAGGAAGAGACACATCAGAGAGACGCATTAGTGGATTCAGATTATTACCTGTTTTTTTAAAGGCAACTGAAACAAGCTTTTCATGCAGCAAGGATGCATTAAATTCATCAAAAGTGACAGTAAAGACATTTATAATGTTACAAAATAATTCTCTTTCAAATAAATTCTGTTCTTTTGAACTTTCTATTCATCAAAGAATCCTGAAAAATAAAATGTATCAGGGTTTTCACAAAAATATGAAGCAGCACAACTGTTTTCAACATTGATACTAATCAGAAATGTTTCTTGAGCAGCAAATCAGCATATTAGAATGATTTCTGAAGGATCATGTGACACTGAAGACTGAAAATTCAGCTTTGCATCACAGGAATAAATTACATTTTAAAATATATTCACATAGAAAACAGCTATTTTAAATAGTAGTAATTTCACAATATTACTGTTTTTACTGTATTTTTTATCAAATAAATGAAAACTTGGTAAGCTTAATACTTCAAAACCCCAACATTTTTAACAAGTGTACCATGAAGAAATACTCACAAAATTCTAAAACTAAACTCCCCCAAATTTTTTTTTGATAAATAGAAAGATCAAAATAATAGCATTTATTTGAAATATAAATCTTTTGTATCAATATGAATGTCTTCATCACTTTTGAGCAATTTAATGTGTTCTCACTGAATAAATTTCTTAAAAAAAAAAGAACGTACAGACCCCAAATTTTTGAACAGTAGCGTCACAACTTGTAGTTGAACAAAGGGTTTTCAGTGACAGATACCGCCGCGGCCGGCGAGCTTGACAATGGCGCGGCCGGCACGCTTAACAGCAGGGCGGTTCTCATACCGCGGGGAAAACACAGGAGAAACAAAAGAAAACAAAGGACTATTCAAAACGAAAACAAAACACGGGAGGAGGAGCGCCGCTTACTGTTTCGGTCTGCTGTTCTATCACGACACACACACTGGGAGCACAGGAACGAACGCGGACACGAGGAATAAAGTAATTTCAAAGATTTAATAAACAAAAGCTGGGAATACAGAGACACGGGATACACTGAGGACACGAAATGTCATT